TTTTGTAATATTTATTCCAATTTTTTAAATCAAGATAATTTAAAAAATGAGTATATACAGTTTTGCAATATTTATAGTTCATTTGAAGAAACTATACAATTACCTATTTATCTTCATACTAAAACTAATGAAAGTTTAGTATCAGAATGTGAAGAAGAAGAAAATAGCGAAGAAGAAGATCTTATTGATAATGAAGAAGAAGAAGAAGAAGAAGAAGAAAAAGTAGAAGAAATACAAAACAACAGGAAAGAAGAATTGCTTCCGTTTCAAAAAAAAACCATAAATGTTGATAGTATAAAGACTGTATATAAAATATTTCAAGTTAATCACCTAGCTACTATATTTCCTTTGATAGATACAGCTTTAAAAATTATTTTGACCTTACCAGTTGCAAGCGCATCAACGGAACGCAGTTTTTCCAAACTTAAAATAATAAAAAATAGACTTCGGACCACAATGTCTCAAGATAGGTTAGAAGATTTGATGATCATAAGTTGTGAGAAAGATATTTCTAAAAGTATTGACCATGAAGAAATACTGAAAATATTTTCTGAAAAAAGTACAATTTTAAGGAAACATTTAATTTAATTACCTAAATATTTGTTGTATTACATATTTTAAAAATTAATAAGTTATGATTAATAAATAATTATGTTATACATAATTTTTTATTCTTGGTTATAAATAAATAAAGATTTTATAAAAGTAGTAATATAGAAAGTATATTATATTATTGACTGCACTAATATATTTCCTATAGGTAATTCTTCCTAGTTCCTTAATTACCTATTTACTATTTTCAATTTTAAACTAAACTGTGATTAACCTAAGCTTTTGAAATTATGAGACTATAATATTATTATATTATCATCATCATTATTTTTTACATAATATGTACAATATATAGTTTTTGATTTAGTTGTTCTTGTCTTAAACTTTAAAGTAATAGGTTATAAGCATAATGAATTTTGTAACTAATTTATAAAATAGTGTTGTATATATTTTTTTTTAAATTATCACACAGTTTAAATAACAACCAAAATTCGGAAAAATATGTGAACGAGTACCCACTGATTGAATATTGGTTATTTGTATTTTCTAATAAATATTGGAAGGTGGGTGGGTCCTCAGAAATATTTTCAGCAACGCATATTTTTTTGAGGATAGCCGCCACTGTCGTAAACAAACGTATATATTAATTTACACACTTTTCGAAAGAAAAAATAGTACCGTACGCCGTACGGCGTACACCGTCGATTAAATATAGCGACTGACTGACAATTATCGACTTTGCCGCGTGCCCATGTCCTACGTGATTTGTAAATATATCACGAATCCGACAATTGCTGTACTGCCCGACCGATACGATTCTGAGAACGAACGAAAGCGTCCGGCGTATACAGGCTATACCTAACGATTATGTCGATCGAGTCATGCATATTTGTATGCAAAAAGCAAAATTTGCAACCCACAGTTTCAATCGAGACATTTTGGTATTTTGCCGGGACGCCGGGACATACAGGCCATACAGCTCAATATCGGTGATAGTCCTGATATATCGGGACGGATGGCAACCCTAGCCGTGTATAGTCTCGGCCTAAGTATTCCTTATTAGTTATTATTACAATTTACAACGTATACCAATCACTCGGTACACCCGTTTCGAGTACGATTTTATAAACGATAAGGCCACGACCTACTGCGTTCTGGTAATGTTAAACAGGTATTATAAATAATTAAAAAATAAAATTACTGTAGGTAATAAATTGTCCTTACGTTATTATCGTAACGTATCTAACTTAACAAAATAATAAATTAGAATTCAAATGCTTTGCAATAACCCAATATAATAATATACACTATAATGTAGGTTTATTATAGATATCGGTAGGCGATATTAAAATGTAATCAGTATCTACCTAAGTAACGTGGGAATGTTTAATCTGAATTATCAGTTCGGAAATATTATGCCGAATAAACCGGGTAAATATAGAATATATATAATTAACTAAACGCTTGATACCGATTTCCGATATGAAATTTCCCTTTATCTTAAATCGCCGGGAGAGTACAACGTATGGACTACGGTTTACGGAGTATATACGGACTACGGCACTAGTATTCACAGTCACTTCCTATCTTCTGCAATAAATTTATTTTAGTGTAAACGCACTTGTGTAGTTATTATGTCAAAATAATGTAGTGTCATCGATTTTTAAATTTCAAAAATTGAAAACTTATTTAATATTATATTATAATAAATGCACCAACCGTAATGTTATTCGTAATGAGGAATTTTGTGGAAATGTGTGTTCAATATTTGAGTAAGATTGACTATATTAATAATAATTATGTACTATGATGTGATGTCTTATGTTTATAGGTACCTACCAGCTATATATATTAGACTAGGCATTGTGCAAACAGTCTATCCTCCATGCAGTGATGTCACTCGGAAAAAAAAGGTAAATACTGGCTATATTAGCAACATTTGTGGAAAAGAGTGAAGCGGTGAAAATGCAGCTCACAGAAACGACTTGAAAAGAAAATAAACTTTGTGTTAGTTTTGGAGAGCCAGAAATATTGCTGGTAAGATTAATAATAATATTTACTTGAATATTCATTAGTATTCGCATTATTCGAATGTACGTACCTACGATTTTGGTAGATCGTACACTCAATACAAAATCCTTGTAGGCACCGATATTATGTATATTGTATAGTATACAGTATTGTATAGACTATCTTGGTCAACAGATTAATTTCATTTTCGGGTTCAAAGTATAGAAGATAATATTGTAGTAATAAGTACCTTAGTACCTATTGTTTATAAATAAAAATAAGCTTTAAAAAAATGCAAAACATGGATAGTAAAATTTCAATTTTTATTGAATGTTATATTTAATTTTAATTTTGCGACGTTACTTATATATTAATTTTATTACAATTTATGTGAACAAAAAGTAAAATATATATTATAGTACACACATGTAATACACACGGGTAATTATTAATCATTAATACATTGCCCTAACCGAATAAATAACATTTTAGTAAGTACCACAAATATAATTCTTTGGAACGAAAAATATTTAACAACTTACCTAATTACATATTTTGCTCAACACCTTCTTGGGCCCTTAAGGTGTATATTTGTACGCTTTTTTTTTAAAAAATACGTAAACATAATATGCAGCCCATGCACTCATGTATGGATAGGTACTTTTTTTTACCGGGATATATTTATTAGAGCCACATATACCCTAGCACCCATATGTTGCATATAAAAAAAATTTAACTTCTTTTGAGTTTTATCGTTGGCACATTTACTTAACAAATCTTGAAACATTATTTTTCTTTTTGAAGCCCCACTTTCAAAATTTCGTTTAGGCATAATTAATAATTACTACATATATTATTTACTAAATTAAAACACAATTAGCAAAAATCCACAGTTACAATAGCCAATAAGAAAAATAAAATAAAAATAATAACACCAGATAAAATATTTAATAATACCACAGGGTATGCAGAGTAAGCATAGGCGTCATTACGGGGTAGCGAGGGGTAGCCATTGCTACCCCACCATTTTTATTGGGGTAGCAAAGTAATAGCTATGATACCCCACGACAAATATAATATCTATATATACCTATGTATGTATATGTTCTGTGATGTCAACGTACATATCAACTAAGATAACTATATTATATTAATGTAGATAACAATAATCTATTTTTAGCGAAACTATTATTTTTCCCAGAAAACGGTTTAGCGTCGATAACGATCGTCGATCGATATGGCACCAACACTAACAACTACCAATTACTAATATTATACCTATATACACTTTATTATTATCACTGTCGTCTGTCATTATGAAATACGAATTAAACACAAAAATAATTAATTGCGCGAGTTCCCGTCTTCCCGATGTCAACACGTAATCGACCGACCACCAACGAACGGGACAATCCGACACGGTACGAAAATTCAACGAGTTACTTATAAGTTATAATATTTTAATTTATAAAATATATATTTACTAAGTATAACTTTACGCTGTGTGCTGTACTTAGTCTTAAAGTAAGTATTATATATTTATTTAATTTTAATATCTTCGTACTTCGTATATTATATTACAATTATTCAAATTTTGCAAAAATTGTATTTATTATTTTTTCAGTTTTACAGGAATGAAACGTCGACCAACAATAACAGACTATTTCATTAAAGCTAGTTATTCAACAGAAAATAATGGTAAATACCAATTCAATTGTGCTAACATTTTTAATTTTTACAGATTCATATTCTATCTAGTAGTTAAAAAGATTTCTCTCTTTTTTTCTTAGTGAATAAACATTTGAATATAATAAGTTTATAGTTTATTGTTTAATTTAAAAAATGTTGAATATATATTATTGTATTATATTGTATTAAACTAAATACTGATTGTTCATAATTAGATGACAAAAATGAAGATGAAGAGCTTCCAGCACCTCCTGGAAGTAAGAAAAATAAAGATACACCTCACACTTCTCAATTATATGGAAATAATCAAGTCAAAGGTAAATAAATAGATTTTAATTCCAAAGTATGCAAAATATAAAAATTAAATCGTTCTTCCCATCACTTTTTTGTGGTATTTCAAAACATTTCTATTTTTTACTGAAAGACCTTATTAGTTAAGAACCTATGATAAATTAATTCTTTTATGTATTCATTTTTCAATTTATGCTTTATAGTTTTTCCATTTTAACACAACATAAAATATGTTGATCAAATTATCACATTTTTATTTAAATGTTACACATTAAGTATATTATATTATGTATTAAACTAAATACTGATTGTTCATTATTAGATGACAAAAATGATGATGAAGAGCTTCCAGCACCTCCCAGGAGTAAGAAAAATAAAGATTTACCTCACATTTCTGAAGTATCTGAGCGTGATCCAGTTAAAGGTAAAAATATAGCTTTTACTTTATTAAGTAAAGGTTTAGGACCATATCAACCGGAAATGGATAAATATCCAAAAGTAAATGGACGAAAATTTTGTACTCAATGGTACAAGTCATATAAATGGCTAGAATACAGTCCAGAAAAGGATGCAGTGTTTTGTTTTTTTTGTAGAGCCTTTGATTTATCAGGTCGCGCTGAAGAATCATTTACTATAAATGGATTTAATAAATGGTCCAAGGCTTCAACATGTCTTCCAAAACACGAACGTAGTGTACCTCACAAAGAAGCAATGGTTAAATTAGCAGGTTTTAAACATTCATCTGTTGAAGGTAGTATCGCCACTAAAATTGATAAACATCATAACACGATAGTGTTGAAAAATATTAGCTATTTGAAAGATATTTTAGAAACATTGCTATTTTGTGCTCGACAAGGAATTGGTATTCGGGGGCATAATGAACAAGACCATAGTTTGTTAAATAACAGAGGGAATTTTATAGAATTATTGCATATGAGGGCCAAAGATAATGACATAATTAAACAATATTTTATTGACAAAGAAAGAAGATTTCGTTATATCCATCCAGAATTTCAAAACATTTTTTTATCGTTAATGGCTAAGAATGTTCAACAAAGTTTAATATCCAATATAAAAGAAGCAGGTATATACAGCATATTGGTTGATGAGACACAGGACATCAGCAGGCATGAACAAGTATCCATTTGTGTTAGGTATGTCACAGAAAGTTTTGAACCAACTGAAGTTTTTCTGGGTTTTTTTAAAACTCATAG